GTAAGAAGTATTTTATAATAAAATATATAGGAGAAAGAATTTCTTGTAAGATATGTTGTTGAGTTTATGCTATTTGGGGATCTTAAATTTATTCATAGAGTTATTTTAAGATCCACATCTGATCAAAAGTGCCTCTGTTGCTTTCCAGAAATACAGTACTCAGCTTTAAAATGAAAATTGAGGGGTGCCTGGGTAGCACAGTTGGTTAAGCGTCTGACTCTTGGTTTCAGCTCAGATTGTGATCTCAGGGTCCTGAGGTTGCTGCCTGTCAGATCAAGCCCTGCATCGGGCTCCACGCTCAGTTTCAGAGGTAGAGTTCAGCAGTTCATCACTTGTATATAACACTGAGTGCTCATTACATCTCATGCCCTCCTTAATGCCCGTCACCCAGCCACCCCATGCCCCCAACCCCTCCCCTCCAGCAGCCCTCAGTTTGTTTCCTATGATTAAGAGTCTTATGGTTTGTCTCCCTCTCTGATTTCATCTTGTTTTACTTTTTTCTCCCTTCCTCTGTGATCCTCTGTTTTGTTTCTTAAATTCCACGAGTGAAATCATATGATAATTGTCTTTCTCTGACGTGTTTCACTTAGCATAATACCCTCTAGTTCCAACCATGTTGTTGCAAATGGCAAGATTTCATTTTTTTGATGGCTGAGTACTATTCCATTGTATATATATACACACCACATCTTTATCCATTCATCTGTCAGGGGACATCTGGGCTTTTTCCATAGTTTGGCTATTGTGGACATTGCTGCTGTAAACACTGGGATGCACGTACCTTTTTGGATCACTACATTTGTATCTTTGGGGTACACACCTAGTAGTGCAATTGCTGGGTCATAGGGTAGGGTAGCTCTATTTTCAACTTTTTTAGGGACTTCCATACTGTTCTCCAGAGTGGCTGCACCAGCTTGCATTCCCACCAACAGTGTAGGAGGGCTCCCCTTTCTCTGCATCCTCACCAACATCTGTCGTTTCCTGACTTGTTAATTTTTGCCATTCTGACTAGTGTGAGGTGGTACCTCATTGAGGTTTTGATTTGGATTTCCCTGATGCCAAGTGATGTTGAGCACTTTTTCACATGTCTGTTGGCCATTTGGATGTCGTCTTTGCAGAAATGTCTGTTCATGTCTTCCCATTTCTTGACTGGATTATTTGTTCTTTGGGTGTTGAGTTTGGTAAGTTCTTTATAGTTTGGATACAGCCCTTTATCTGATATGTCATTTGCAAATATCTTCTCCCATTCTGTCGGTTGTCTTTTGGTTTTGTTGACTGTTCCCTTTGCTGTGCAAAAGCTATTTATCTCGATGAAGTCCCAATAGTTTGTTTTTGCCTTTGTTTCCCTTGCCTTTGGAGATGTGTCTAGCAAGCAGTTACTGAGGCCGAGGTCATAGAGGTTGCTGCCTGTGTTCTCAAGGATTTTGATGATTTCCTTTCTGACATTTAGGTCTTTCATCTATTTTGAGTCTATTTTTGTGTATGGTGTAAGGAAATGGTCCAGTTTCATTCTGCATGTGCCTGTCCAATTTCCCCAATACCACTCATTGAAGAGACTTTTTTCCACTGGATAGTCTTTCCTGCTTTGTTGAAGATGAGTTGACCATAGAGTTCAGGGTCCATTTCTGAGTTCTCTGTTCTGTTCCATTGATCTTTATGTCTGTTTTTGTGCCAGTACCATACTGTCTTGATGATTACAGATTTGTAATAGAACTTGAAGTCCAGAACTGTGATGCCTCCAGCTTTGGTTTTCTTTTTCAACTTTACTTTGGCTATTCAGGATCTTTTCTGGTTCCATACAAATTTTAGGATTATTTGTTCCAGCTCTGCGAAAAATGTTGATGGTATTTTGATAGGGATTGCATTAAATGTATAGGTTGCTCTGGGTAGCATAGACATTTCAACAATATTTGTTCTTCCAGTCCATGAACATGGAACATTTCTCCATTTCTTTGTTCTTCAATTTCTTTCATGAGTGTTCTGTAGTTTTCAGAGTACAGATCCTTTGCCTCTTTGGTTAAATTTATTCCTAGGTATCTTCTGGTGTTTGGTGCAATTGTAAATGGGATCAATTCCTTACTTCTCTTTCTTCTGTCTCATTGTTAGTGTATAGAAATGCAACTGATTTCTGTGCATTCATTTTATACCCTGCCACTTTGCTGAATTCCTGTATGTGTTTTAGCATTTAACTTAGTTTCTCTGTTGTTAGTTTCGTCTATAAAATGGCATAACAACACCTGCCCTGCTTACCATACAAAGTTGTTTGGAAATCACATGAAATTAAGTACCCCAAAGCATTGAACTGTTGAGTTTGGTATTCAGTTTCTTTTGTCTTCATGCTCCTGCTGCAGTGTCCACCAGAAGGAATTTTGGAATGAAGCACCATGGGTTTGTCTTAACTGCTTAAATTTGATTTCCTGGTGTTTGCTGGCTTTATTCACAATTGTTTATTTAGAGGTGGAAAAATTGGCCTTTTTGTGATAGATCATTTCTTATCATTAAGTAAAATTTAAGTATAGTGTTTTAGAACATTTTCTTCTGCTAGCTTCTCACTTCTTCCTTTCACACACCCCTGTAGCACAATCCCTAGAATACTGATTGAGGGCCTGGACTTGAGTGTCAAATTCCGTGGGTTTGATCTCAGTCCACTGTAGCCCTTGGGAAAGAGAGGTAACTTCATTACACCTTAGGGTCTTCATCTGTAAAATGGAGGTGGTAGAAGTGGTCTGAACAAGGAAATACATATAAATTGCTTGGCACATGGAAAATGCTCAAAATGTTTTTAGTATTATTGCATAATTATTGATAATGATTCTGAGAATCCGTTCAGTCTCTCATTCTTTTAAATATAAATGGCATTTTAATGTATTCTTATATTTTTCTGTGTATGCTTCTATCCTGTATTGAGAGTGTAATTTTCAATTTTGTGGAAGTCATGAACTAGATTGCAGTTGTTATAATACTGATATTGCACTTTAATTTTCAGTAAGAAATGGTTAATATCAAAAAATTGTTCTCAGTTTTTCAAATTAACTTAATTAACCAGGGTAGTTAAGATTTAACTGACTTTATAAAAAAATACATCATATATCAGCAAAAATAGATTTTATTTATCCTCAAATCAGCCCTTGTGATATAGGAATTATTTTTTCTTTTTTAGAGTTTAAAAACTGAAGCTAAGAAGATTTGGGAGACTGCTGCGAGGTTATAAACACGAAATGGGCAGGATTTGTTTTGTTTCGTTCACTGTTACATGTCCGTAGCCTAAACAGTGCCTGGCAGACAGGGAGTGGTCAGTAGACGTTTGTACAGATGAATTTTATGAATGCAGATCCTTGTGTCAAGCCTTAATTTCCTCATTATGGCACAGCCAGATATGTTAGCATTGCTCAGCGTTTCTTCAACTACTCTTAGGCATCTTTATAAAACTGGTTGGCAGTAGGCATTTTTAAGTATACAAAATTAATGAGCAGTGCAGCTTGAGTAAAGCTTGGTGTCACCTCTCCAGCTCAGCAGAGGCTTGTCCAGGAGAGGTGACGTGGTCTTCTTTCCAGTGTGGGCTGGAAAGCAGTGGGGAGGTGTGTGAACCGGGGGACACCGTAAGGAAACCAGGCGTCTTTTAACCTCTCTCTCAGAGCTTATTTCTTTTGTTGCCATGTTGGGAATTTCTAGAATATTAAAATATAGAAACCAAAGCAATCTAGAACCACATACAAATAATTTTGCATCTAATTTTGATATTTTTATTTCTCTGAAATTCTTTGTTACCTTAGTGGGATTCAGTAAGAATTTGTTGTATTCAGGGGCGCCTAGGTGGCTCAGTCAGTTAAGCATCTGACTCTTGATTCTGGCTCAGGTCATGATCTCAGGGTCCTGGGATCAAGCCCTGCATGGGGCTCTGCGCTCATCAGGGAGTCTGCTTGTTCCTCTGCCCCTCCCCCCATGCTCGTGTGCGCACACGTGCACGCACTCAAATAAAATCTTTTTAAAAAGTCTTAAAAAAAGAATTTGTTGTATTCATGTTCTAACTCCAGAAAAATCTTAATCTTGGAATATGTAAAATGCCTTTTTTTTTTTTTTTACTTAACGGTGAACTCTGGTTTACAGGTAAAATTTAAATGCATTTTCTTCTCTTACATAATGAATTTTACAGTCTTGGTATTTATTGTACTACTGTGGTTATCTTTCACAATTCTTGCTTATCATTGGTGGTGTTTTCAAAAGATGACCTCTCCCTGCTCCTTCTAAATCTTATTCTAAGCCCTTTCCCTCCCACCATGTTAAGACCAAAACAGAATTTTCTGGGAGAAACTGATGTCTGTCATTTTCTCTACAGTCTTCAGTAAAAGAAGTTAGCATTCCTTCAGGCCAGTCTAGTATGTCACAGCCCTGCTGTTAGGAGCCCTTTACATCCGAATTCCTTCTTTGTTAACATAAGTGCTATTTTCCTTTTTTCCAGAATCCATCGCTTGCCTTAATTCCTTCACGTACAAGTACTATTTACCTAAATGCAGTGTGTTCCTGTTAAATATAAATTGAATCGTATATATTCTAAATGCATTCAGTAACTTTTCTGTTCAAAAAAGTCCTTTTGTAAAGCAAATAATTACCTGGTGATTGTGGTTTGGGTTGTTTTTGTTTTCTTTTCAGTTGTTAGTGTTAGGTTTTTGATTTATTTTTTCTAGATTTGGATTTTCAAATACATGGTTTATTTAAAAACAGGGTATAGTTAGAAGTGATTTCTAAGGTCAGTTCTGAACTTTCTCTTCTCCGAGTTAAGATGCAGTGAGACAAGCAGTAATTTGAGGTTTTCTGCACTGAATGTTAAGTTGGTACTTTTCTAGGAAAGAAAACAACTCCAGTTTTCTCTGGGGTGTCCTGTTGTGGATACTCAGTAGAGGGGTTTTAAAGATAACAGTGAGTAACTCTCATTCTGCCAACTGTCACTTCCTTGTGCCTGAAATCTGCGTTTACCTTACCCTTGCTCCTCTGTGTTGCAGCTGGTGGACAGCGAGGTGGTTATGCTTTCGGCACACTGGGAAAAGAAGAGGGCGAGCCTGGTCGAATTACAGGAGCAGCTCCAACAGCTTCCCGGCTTACTAGCAGATTTAGAATCCATGACAGCAAACCTGAGTGAGTTTTATGTTTGTATCTGTACATCACTTTTAGGAATGAGAAATTCAAAGGATAGAAATTCAAAGCCCTCTAAGAATACATTAAATTCTTGGTTAATACGATTTTTTGGAAAAGAGTTACTTACGGTTAATTTCATGTCTGATTAACACAGGATTGGACAGGAAATAGTTTTAAAGTATAGAAATTATTTCCAAAATATACCACTAACCTTTTCTGCCTCAGTTCAGCTCTGGAAACACAATTATAATTTGTTGGTTTTTAGGGTGATTCAGGGTTGTGTGTGTGACATTGGATCTCAGTTTAAAAGTATAAATATATAGGGGTGCCTGGGTGGCTCAGTTGGTTAAGCGTCCGACTCTTGATCTCAGCTCAGGTCTTGATCTCAGGGTCATGAGTTTGAGGCCCACATTGGGCTCTATGCTGCGCATGGAGCCTAATTAAAAAAAAAAAAGTACAAATATAATAAAAGGGGTTATAGTGACTTTGTTCTGGTTGTAGAATATACTCTGGACGTTACTGCTTTAAAAATTAGGTCTGCCTAAAGCTTTGTATCTTGAACTGTGTTTTTTTTTCCCTCCTTGAACACTTGAGAGATGAAACAAATCCAGTTTTTTTAGGGTGCCTGTTTGGCTAAATTTATACCTGTGGAAGTTCATATTTTTTTGTTTTCATTGGAACGAATTATGCTGATATTCTTTATTTCTTGGACTTATAGTCAAAAAATTCCCTTTTATGTTTGATGGTACCACATGATAGGATGATATCATGGCTCACTCTTTTCTTACCAAGCTTAAGATCTTAGTGAAGTGTAAGAGGTAGGAGTATGTACATGGGAGATAAACTTCCCGGGCCAGTAACCTGATTCAGTCTTACAGGTAAGAAGGTACGGGTACCTTATCATTTCTTTCTGTTTTTTAATATTACCCTTCTTAAGCAAAACCAAAATGATTTACAGAGCCGGTAATTAGTAAATCATAAAACAGCTTGTGTGTGTGTGGATGAAATGGACCTGAATAGTCTTTGGGATGCTGTTGCTGATGACAGTAACTAACATTTGCGGCACCTATCATATGTCAGAGGCTGTGAGGTGCTTTACAAATGTTATCTTTAATCCTCACATGAACCCTTTAAAAGTAGCTATTATCATCCCATTTTACAGCTCGGGAGAGTGAGGCTCAGAGAGACTGTGACCTGCTCAGGGTCACACAGTTAATGAGATGTGGATCCAGGATCCCAGTCACAGTGATGTGTCCTGAGCTTTTTTTTTTTTTTGGCGGCAACTGTCAATAGTCTCATGAACTGTGCGCTTTTTTTTTTTTTTAAAGGTTTATTTTATTATTTGAGAGAGAGAGAGCATGAGTGGGAGGGGCAGAGGGAGAGGGAGAAAAGAATCTCCAACTGAGCACGGAGCCCAGTGCAGGACCTGAGATCACCACCTGAGCTGAAATCAAGAGTCGGACACTTACCAGACTGTGCCACCCAGGCGCCCCTCATGAACTGTGTTCTGAAAGCCCTGGTTACCTTCTGGCCTCAGTGTTCTGTTACTTCTGAAAGCGGGGCATGAAAAAGAGATCCGGGATGAAACAACATATATCTTGTTGTCCATCTCCACCAGCTCTTGGGAGACCAGGTGCATTGTCAGTGAGCAGTCATATTTTGAAAGGAATCTTTTTTCCTGAGCAGTAGGTCTCGACAGTGGGCTTAAAATATTCAGCAAACCATGTTGTAAACAGATGTGCTGTCATCTAGGCTTTGTTGTTCCATTTATAGAGCAGAGGCAGAGTAGATCTAGCATCATTCTTAAGAGCCCGAGGATTTTCAAAAAGGTGAATGAGCATTGGCTTCAACTTCAAGTCAGCAGCTGCATTGGCTCCTAACAAGAGAGTCAGCCTGTCCTTGGAAGCAGGCATTGACTTCTCCTCTCCAGCTGTGGAAGTCCTGGATGACATCTTCTTCCAACTGAAGGCTGCTTCATCTACATTGAAAATCTGTTGTTTAGTTGCAGCCACCTTCATTAACTCTCCCAGCTCGATCTTCTGGAGAACTTGCTGCAGCTTCTCCATCAGCACTTCCTGCTTCACCTGGCACTTGGTGTTACAGAGATGGTTTCTTTCCTTAAACCTCATGAACCAACCTCTGCCAGCCTCAGAATTTATTTCAGAGAACTGAAGAGAGTCAGGGCCTGGCTCTGGATTAGACTTTGGCTTAAAGGAACGTTGTGGCTGGTTTGATCTTTGGTCCAGACCGCTCAAACTTTCTCCATGTTGGCAATACGACCATTTTGCTTTCTTGTCATTCATGGGATCATTAGAGTAGTACTTTTCATTCCCTTCAAGAACTTTCTCTTTGCATTCACAACTTGGCTAACTGCTTGGTGCAAAAGGCCTAGCTTTCAACCTGTCTCAGCTTTCGACATGCCTTCCTCACCGAGCTTAATCATTTCTAGCTTTTGATTTAAAGTGAGAGATGTGTGACTCTTCCTTTCACTTAAACACTGAGAGGCCATTGTACAGTTATTAGGCCTCATTTCAGTATTGTTGTGTCTCAGGGACTAGGGAGGCTCCGGGAGAGGGGGAGAGATGGGGGAACGGCCCATTGGTAGAGAGTCAGAACACCCACAATATTTATCAGTTAAGTTCTCTTTTATGGGTGTGGTTCATGGCATCTCAGAACAATGACAGTAGTAACATCAAAGACTGCTGATCACTGATCACCACAGTAATAACAAAGTTTGAATTATCGCGAGAATTACCAAAATGTGACATAGAGATATGCAGTGAGCAAATGCTGTTGGAAAAATGGCACCAAAAAACTTGCCCAGTGCAGGGTGGCCACAAACTTTGGATTTGTAAAAAACACAGTATCTGCGAAGCACGATAAAACGAGGTATGCTTGTATTGAGCTCTTTTTGAAGAATGAATTTTGTTTCCTTAAAAGATACCTCTAAAATCTAGGTGGTTTTCATATATATTGCCAGTCTGAATTACCATTAGCAGTTGAAATACATGTTACCTTTGGTTTTCACTGTATTGCTGTTACTTGTCTGATATTTATACTTAGTAATGAATGACTAACTGTAGAACAGACAGTCAAAACTGGAACTCTGAAGGCCTCGTATCTGTTGTTGACTTAGAGTAAGCCCCATAGAGAGGTGTTTTCAAATTGAGACTTTTAGGTAAGCAACTTAAACGTCTTGGACCGGGTGCTGATATTCTTTACAATAGGAAAATATTTTAAAGCCAGATTTGATGGGGTAGGTTATATAAACATATATCTATATCATGAATGTAGTGTATGAATTCATTTTTTTATTATGTTCAGTTAGCTACTGTATAGTACATCATTAGTTTTTGATGTAGTGTTCAGTGATTCATTAGTTACATATAACACCAGTGCACATCACAACATGTGCCCTCCTTAATACCTATCACCCTATTACGCCCTCCTCCCTCCTCCCTTCTGAGACCCTCAGTTCGTTTCCTGGGGTCCATAGTCTCTCATGGTTCATCTCCCTCTCTGATTTCTCCTCCTTCAGCTTCCCTTCCCTTCCCCTATGGTCCTCCGTGCTATCGTTATGTTCCTCAGATCAGTGAGATCATATGATAATTGTCTTTCTCTGCTTTACTTCACTTAGCATAATCCCCTCCAGTTCCATCCATGTCGATTGCGAATGGTGGGTATTCATCCTTTCTGATGGCTGAATAATACTCCATTGTGTATATGGACCACATCTTCTTTATCCATTCATCTGTTGAAGGGCATCTCGGCTCCGTCCACAGTTTGGTTATTGTGAACATTGCTGCTATGAACATTGGGGTGCATGTGGCCCTTCTTTTCACTACATCTGTATCTTTGGGGTAAATACCCAGTAGTGCAATTGCTGGGTCATAGAGTAACTCCATTTTCAACATCTTGAGGAACCTCCATACTGTTCTCCAGAGTGGCTGTACCAGCTTGCACTCCCACCAACAGTGTAGGAGGGTTCCCCTTTCTCCACATCCTCGCCAACATTTGTTGTTTCCTGTTTTGTTAATTTTTGCCATTCTAACTGGTGTAAGGTGGTATCTCATTGTGGTTTTGATTTTTATTTCCCTGATGGCTGATGATGTTGAGCATTTTTTCCTATGTCTGTTAGCCATTTGTATGTCTTCTTTGGAGAAGTGTCTGTTCATGTGTTCTGCCCATTTTTTTGACTGGGTTATTTGTTTTTTGAGTGTTGAGTTTGAGAAGTTCTTTATAGATCTTGGGTATCAGCCCTTTAAGTTTATGTATCATTCCTAGATATTGGAACCAGTGTCTTAAATGTTTGCACATATACTACTGGATTCTTTTATTTTTTTGCAGTCTCAAAGTATCTCTTATCACCTTAATACTTTGACGTAATATTAAGGCTTAGTCAAGCAATAATTTAAAAAATTTTAAAAACTAGGAAGTAGTAACTGACCTGTATATAGTCACAGGATTCTCTTAACTTCTTTGAACTTTGTGCTCTTTTCCTGTCGGATCTGATACCATATCCAGTCAGTCCCACCATCTTCCGGGCTACACGTCCTTTTTAGTCTTGCTCTGCCCTCTAGACTATCTGCCCTTATTACAGAATAAAGGACTTATGTGATGTGAGCAATCTGAACCTTTGATGATGCTTTTAGATGCCTTATCCTATGGCTTAATAAATATGACTCCTGATGACATGATCCCCCAGGAATTGTGAAGTAAGACTGGATAATCCCTTCATTTTTTTTTTTTTTCAAATGGAGTGTGATCCATTCATCTTACATAAGCCTGTGTAATAGATAATTACTGGTAGTTTGACGTTTAAAAAAAATGATGAAGATACACTGGGAACTAGAGAATAAGGGCTGTGGACTCCTCTCATATCAGGGTTTGGATCCCAGTTCCACAACTTCCTGTGAGACCCCATGCAGGCTTCTTGACTGCTCCAAGCTTGTTTCTTTGTCTGCAGAAAGAGGATGACAGTTCCTGCCTCAGAGGGTAGT